ATATCACACAACACTCTTGGGATTGCCACATGTGACTGTCCATAAATGTTCTACACTTAATCCTGCCACATTGTTACCCCTCCCAGGAGAGGGCACACCGCACTCATGCATGGCAGAGCTGAATCAGATCTGTACTCCAAGACCAGATCTTTCTGATACACCATTGACTAACCCTGATTTAATTCTCTATGTAGATGGATCAGCATATCGAGACCCGGACACCGGAAGGTCGCATGCTGGATACGCTGTGGTGGACGACCATTCAGTCGTTCTTTCTTCCTCTCTACCATCGATGTACTCGGCACAATTGGCAGAGCTGGTGGCGTTGACAGAGGCGTGTGCATACGCAAAGGGACGGTCTGTTACAATATTCACTGACTCCCGCTATGCATTTGGGGTGACGCATGATTTTGGGGCACTGTGGAAACATAGAAACTTTCTAAAATCTGACGGAAAACCAATTTTACACCACACACATGTTGCAGCATTGTTAGAAGCTATCTTGCTCCCATCTCAGATTGCAGTGTGTAAATGTTCTGCCCACACAGGTGCAACGGACTCTGTTTCATTGGGTAACGCTAGGGCGGACAGAGCTGCGAGAGCTGCTGCTAAACAGCTTCTCCCCTCATCAGCTTCCTTCTCGCTGCCCCATGCTGTCTCCCCAGAGGCCCCTCCTCTTTCCCCTCCCGCCTCTCTGAAGGACCTCTGCTCACTCTCTTCCCCTGAAGAGCGGCGCACGTGGGCGGAGTCTGGTGCTGTTTTCCAAAATGGCGTCTGGGTAGGCCCAGATTTGAAGCCATGCCTTCCCAAAAGATTATTTAATTGCTATGCTAAGTTAACACATGGGTTGGACCATGTGTCAAAGGGGAATATGTTTCAAGCAGTCCAACAATTTTGGTTTACAAAAGGGTTTTCTACATTTGCTGCAGAGTTTTGTAGAAGCTGTTTGATCTGCGCACAGAATAACCAGGGTAGGCCGAGGTCTCTGGCACAAGCAGCTCACCCAGCTCCTACAAGACCGTTTGAACATGTCATGATGGACTTCATTGAACTAACACCCAGTGAAGGGAAAACATGTTGTCTTGTAATGGTGGATATGTTTTCAAAGTGGGTTGAAGCTTTCCCTGCAAGACATGCGTCCTCCGCTACAGTAGCAAAAGCCATTTTGACTGAAATTCTTGTAAAATGGGGAATTCCTCAGAAGTTGTCCAGCGATAATGGGTCGCATTTTGTTAATGAAGTGATAAAACAACTGTCTGATTATTTGAAATTTGATTTGAAAACTCACTGCAGCTATCACCCACAATCTGGTGGGGCTGTGGAGAGAGAAAATTTCACGATAAAATCAAAACTGGCCAAATGCTGTCAGGAAACAAACCTTAGCTGGCCAAAATGATTGCCAATTGTCCTGATGTACATGCGAATGAGAGTGCGCACGCGTAACAACCTGTCCCCATTTGAGATTTTGTTTGCAGCTCCCCCCAACGTAGGAATGGGACCTGCGGGACCTCAGAAGATAGGTAACACAAGAAGATCAACGAGTGACAATCCAAGTCCAGGATGCACAACCACCGGGAGCGCGGTCCTTGGCATCCATTCAGGCAGCAGGGCCTTTGCGGGATGAGAAAGACTTTGTGTGTGCTCATGTTCATTTCCTTCCTCATTGTGTTTCCACTGTTATGGTTTGAAGGTCGGGAGAATAAAAAGAACAATCAAACACAGGTCGTTGTCAATTACACTTCTAACACCTCTTCATTTACATCAAAACGTGTGAAGAGGGAAGATGTGGCCGAAATGGATTTTGCGTGGTCACGTGTTTTGGCTCAGTCAATGAATCACACCAGCGTGTACACACTTAATTTGTGGTATCAATATGCAAAATTCTTAGCAGAGTCACAAAATCGCTCAAATTGTTACATTTGTACTCATATGCCTATTGCGTCATCAAACCCACAAATCACACCTCTACCAATGGTTGATGCATTTACACATTTTCCAAAGATTCTGTATTCATCTGTCTCTGTTGGTTATTTCAATGAGACCGTCACAAAGCGTACAGGTAAATGTCTCCCCCCACTCAAACCGGCTGTTAGTTCTGATTTCTTCAATTATTGGTTTAATGATGAATTAAATCCAATTTTTGGCCCGGTACATATCAGACCTGGTACTAAATTTGTATGTTACACCTTATCCATGACCATTACAGATTCTCCTATACAGATGGGACGGATCCCTATGTCATTTTGTTTAAATGTGTCTAACCCGTGTACTTCTTTTCATGGTAATTCAAGTTTAAACACTTCTCAGGCCGCTCCGGGTAGTACATGTGCTCCATACTTCACGGTTCCTGACTCAACAGGGACTAATCCTCTGAAGGGTGTTTTGTGGCTGTGTGGCTTCAATGTCTATGTGAAGCTACCATTTAATTGGATAGGTCGTTGTGCTCTGATGATAGCTTCAGATCACTCTTACATCATCTCTACCATTCCTAGATCGCGAGGTAAGCGCGATTTTGCTGCTCATGATGCAGTTTGGGGGACGGACGTTCCAGATGATCACAAACTGTGGACCAAGCCAACAAAAGTACTTCTCTCCTTGTTCCCCCAGGTCGGTATAGGGAAAGTTATGCTTAGAATGGAAACCTTGAATTATCGGTTTTCAAGTTTTGTGAATTCAACTGTAACTATTCTAGAGGCCAACAGAGTAGAAGTAAATGCGTTGCGTGCCGTTGCTTTACAAAACAGGATTGTTTTGGATCATTTGGTTGCCTCAAGTGGAGGTGTTTGTGTTTTACTTAATCAGACCGCTTGTTGTACTTATATTCCTGATAACAGTGCCGATGATGGGATCATTGCACAGGGTATTCGAAATCTAACCACTTTGCGCGATGCGGTTAACCGTGATTTTGTTCTAGATGCTTCATGGTTTTCAGACTGGCGAGCGTGGTTGGTTCAAATAGGTACTGGACTTGGAGTAATATTAGTACTGCTAATAGTGCTGTCATGTTGTGTCATTCCTTTGATCCGTTCATTGATCCGACGTATGATCTCGTCGACACTCGTTCAACACACTTCTCTTAACCTGCATGTTGACTGTCTTGATGAGGACAGTGATCCATTTAGTGAGATGTTACTTGATGATTTTGAGTAAATTGGTTTGTATGTCTAACCCATTTTATGACGGATTTTCTTAAACCTACTAGGTGTGAAAGTTTTGATGTTCCGGGGTTACTTATATTTTACTTATATTTTACTTATATTTTACTTATATTTTTAGTACTTGATATATTTTTAGTACTTAATAGCATGTGTGTGATTGATTTAAGATAATCAAAGGGTGGATTGTCATGGCCAGATTCCCGGCACAAGATATTCTAATCATTTAGGTCGATACATGCGTCTTCTTTCCCAGCGTCTGAAACTGCTTCTCATCACTGTTTGAAACATTAACACAAAGGCTGCTTGTCCACGGTCCTCTTTCCCATAACCTTCGCCACCACCTGCATGGGCCTATCTCAAATGTTCTTACAGCGTGTTCCTTCTTATCAAATTCGAAGGTCCTTTTCTGCGCTTAATGTATCTCTCTCAAACTTTCCCGTCTGCAGCTGCGTATGACTCATCTCTCTTGTGACGATTGTCCATTGTTCTGTCTGACACACCTCCAGTATAAGATCATAAGACATGTTTGTTGGGGAGGACAGACAGACGCGGCATCGCTCCAGGTCCCGCTTCTGTTTGACTCCTTTCTGCGCAGAAATGTCATTTTGTACTCATCACTTCTGTGAATAAAACTGCACCAAAGGACAAGTTTGTTTCCTCTCGGTTTCATTCATTTGAGGCAATAGAATTTCCATAACAGGGGCAATAAGAATGGCCACCCCAGCTCGCCGCCTCTCCCCGCGGGAAACACCAGAAAAGTGGAGCGTCCAACCCCTCTCAAGGAGTTGGGTTCCAGAGCCCAAGCTGTGTGTGGAGGTGAGGCCGACTATCTCTAGTCGGTATCGCTCAACCTCCCCCACGAGCTCGGGCTCCTTCCCCCCCAGTAAGGTGACGTTCCACGTCCCAAGAGCCAAATGTTGTGTGTGCGGACTGGGTTGTCGAGGTCTCCGCCTTCGACCGCTGCCCAGTCCTCTCAGCACCCGACCACCACGGACCCCTCTGCGGGTGGTGGGCCCACAGGAGGGACTGCCCACGTCATCCCTTCGGGCTGAGCCCGGCCGGGCCCCGTGGGCTAAGGCCCGGCCACCAGACGCTCGCATTCGGGCCCCAACCCCAGGCCTGGCTCCAGGGTGGGGCCCCGGCTGCGCCATGCCGGGCGACGTCACTGTTATTGTATGAGTGCGACCCATGGTTGTTTTTGGACCGCTCTTCGTCTGACTCGTCACCTGAGACCTGTCTGCCATGGAAGACCCTACCAGGGGCATAAAGCCCCAGACAGCATAGCTCCCAGGATCATCCGAGTACTCAAACTCCCCCACCACGTTAAGGTGGCAGTCCAGTTGGGAGTCTTTAACAAGTTATCATTAAATGAGAAAAAAACTAAATTCATGATTTTTGGACCCAGTAGAGCTCATTCTAATAAAAGACTGAACTGGAATGGGATTGAAATAGAGCGAGTTAATGAGATTAGATTTTAAGGGGTGATTATTGATCACCAGATCAGCTGGAAACCTCTTGACATATACAATATGTCAAGAGTAAAATATCAAAAACAATTGGTATACTTTATAAAACCAAACATATGCTGGATATTAAATCTCTGCATATAGTATATTCATCACTTGTGCTTCCCTATTTGTCTTACTGCTCAGAGATCTGGGGAACCACTTATAAAACACATATAGATCCAGAGAGTTTCCAAGTTGGTGTAACAGAGCAGACGTGGGTTTTTACGTGCCCCTGACTTTACAACTTCTACCCGGTCTTACACTCATTAACGTCGCCTTTGAGTAACCACTTCTGATTTTGAGTTGGACCGCATTCATTTCGTCCAGAATAACGATGTCTAAGTCAACGAAGAGAGATCGAGAACGAGAGGAGGCGGCTAACATCAGTGCATTTACCGCAGTGCTAACTGATAAACTAGCGGAGACAAAAGCGGAGCTACTGGCGGAGATTAAAGACACGTATTCCAAATACGAGATGAAGCTGAACGCTGTCCAGGCCACTGTTGACGACCATACCACACGCATCACCGGTTTGGAACGGTCTGCAGACGTTACTTCCACCGATGTCACGGATATCCAGGCTAAGCTATCTGATCTGGTCGCAGACAATGCTAAGCTCAAGGCTAAGGTATTGGATCTTGAAGGCAGGAGTCGCCGTAACAACATCAGAATCGTCGGGCTACCAGAGGATGTTGAGGGCTCCAAGCCAACAGCCTTTTTCTCCCAACTACTTTTTGAGGTGCTTGGTGCGGATACTCTGCCTTCACCCCCGAGGCTGGATAGGGCGCATCGCACGCTAGCTGCTAAGCCAGGGCCCTAGGGTTGACCTCGGGCTGTCGTGATATGCTTTCATCACTTCAAAACACGGGAGCTGGTTTTGCGAGCGTCCCGGAAACTACGAGGCAAGCTCAAATACAAGGACTCTGCTATCCACATATTTGAGGATTATATTCCGGGGGTTTTCAGAATTATTTGTTAACGTTTTCATGACAAAAATACTGTTTTAATGTGATAATAAGCGATCGTGAAAAACCCATTAACATGAAACGAACATTTTAGGACACATTTGAAGAGGATCTGATTATGGATTTAGGTTTGGTATAAATGAGTAACTCACCGCTGATGTTCAGAATTCTTTGTTCAGTTTTCATGTAGTTCCAGAGAGTTTTTGAACTAGCTAGCTTAGCTGTTTTTCTTCTTCTTCGGTTATTTACGGCAGACTAGATGCCTCTCGGCACATTGCTGCCTCTCTCGGTGCAATCCGTCATCGCAGATAAATTATATCCAGAGCAGCCCGGTGGCTGCAAGAAAATCCTACAGCGCTCTTACAGCGAAGTCTTGTCCCGTTGAAGGGCTTAGCAAATCTCGAAGGCTGACATTACTCCGATTGTGGCGCTACAGTTCGAAACAGCTCTATGCGTTGTTCTCTATACAGTGGGCATTCCATTAGTACATGTTTTACTGTTTGATCTTTGATACAGCCCTAAACTTGGCTTTGAGAAGGGGAAAGGAAAAGTAACATAAACAACCAGATATAATTGGCAAAGTAAATGACCTTTTTTTTAGGCAGAAAAGGTAAAGGTCCTGGACAAAACTTAGAGTCAAAAAGACGAAACAAAAGGGGTTCTTTCTACAGATAACAAATCAAAGTTCTTTAAGTGTCTCTTAAGGTCTCATAAGGTCTCATACGGTTTTACATTAGGTCTCTCACAAAGGTGTCAGTACGGTCCAAAACACGTCTGTTTCTCAAGGGTGGCGCACTTGCACAAGCCGCCCCATCCGGGCGTCGCACCGCTGTTTTTATGGCCGCGGGCAGGTCAGCTGGTGGCGCAGATTGATTTGGCCGGAGCTCCTATTAGCCATACAGGAGGATTCCGGGCGAATGGCAGCGTCCGGGAGGCGGGCCCTCAGTATGGCGGGAATGAGACAGACACACAGACAGGAGAGACACACCGGGAGAGGGAGGGGATGCTTGCGCAAAACGGCCCAGACCTGGAGCCGTAACAATCTTGCTTGCAGTGTTGGCACAGACCATCAGTGTGTTTCCCCATTTTAACTAGATCCCACCCTAAACCACAATGTCCCAGTCTAAGCCTGGTTAAAACAACGGCAGGTTTCCGTAGCTTAGCGGTTACCTGCCTAGAATGTCAAATCAGTATACCACCAGCATGGCAGACGCTAATTACGTCATCAGTTTAAGTCACATGGTTGAAAGTCATCTTTTAACTCTACTGTCTTTGCCAGAGCCTTCTCCGTCGTCCTCCATTGATATTATAATAGATCAACGCATTGTTTGCTAACAAGTTTTACAAACACTAGTAATGCATGCGGACCATGCAGACCGGGGCTGTGTAGAGCAGGACACGTGACATAAACATATTGCCCAACACGAAAAGAATCTGTGCGAAACGTGAGAAAAGTCTATAGGGACGTCCCGCGTGACGTCACGCCATTTGGAGCAGCCATTTTGACGGTGTAGAAATGCAAAACCGCCGGTGATACTACAGGTAGTAGCAATATTTTCCTATCAGGCCGGAGCGATGCTGTGCAGTTGGATGCGACCGTGATCAGACAAAAGGAATATCTTTATACCGGGTGCACAGAGGTTTTCAGAATTATTTGTTCATGTTTTCATGACAAAAATAAAAGTACAATGAGATTTCAGTGCCTGTTACTACTGTGAAGAGAAGCTTGCCCAGCTAGCCACTCTCAAACAAATGCCAATCAATCAATCAACACCATTAAATGTTAATCAGAGAATACAATATACATATACATCCTTAACACAAATGCACGGAGGTTTTCAGAATTATTTGTTAACGTTTTCATGACGAAAATACAGTTTTAATGTAACAAAAAGCGATCGTGATAAACCCGGAAGTAACCATCAACATGAAACGAACATTTTAGGACACATTTGAAGAGGATCTGATTATAGATTTAGGTTTGGTATATAAATGAGTTCCTCACCACTGATGTTCAGAATTCTTTGTTCAGTTTTCATGTAGTTCCAGAGAGTTTTTGAACTAGCTAGGTTTATGAATAATCGAGGCAGCGGAAATTAAACAAATATTTGTAATATTCAAATTTTTCGAGTAATTAGATTAATCGTTTCAGCTCTAGACAATAGTGGACCAAAACAACACAACACAACAGTCCTGTAAAAAAGAGAGAGAATACTTATGCAATTCAATGATCTTTATTTATAATTCATGTTTACACTTCCATCAACTTAACTGATTATGGTCAAGTTTATGGATATTGTGTTTTGAGAAATACAATTACATTCAATGCATTTTAGTGCTGAGTTTTGTGTCAACATTTAGGGCAACAAGACAGATAAATTGAACACAAATGATCCGGTTGAGATGAGAGAGATAAGCCCTCTTTGCGTGATGCCACGTCTGGGATAAAGAGAAGAGGCTTTGGTGATGATTTGGATCATGGAATTCTATTTCCATGAGACAAACATGTCAACTGTGACCCAAAGTCAACACTTTGAACCACGGTCTTCTGCTGGCAGTATGTGGCAATAAATATATCACCCCTGCCTTGAAGATCCTAATATCTGCAGACCAAGAGACAGTGGACCACAAAGGTATGTGACAATTGCTGATTGTCAGTAACTGGTGAATACCTTCTTCCCCCACTGTTCTGTGCTGCGATGGTATTACAGTGTTTTAGGGTTTAGAAGAAAGCAGGAGTCTCATCAAAGCCACAGTAACAGCAAGCATCTTCACTCCAGACCGAACGGCCGAGAAGGAAGCCCCCGGTGGCAGACACAGTCACTACACTCAACCCGATGAGTCCCCTGATGAGATATTTGCCTATTGTTCTGTAAGCAGATGTTTCCACATCTTTCTCCTCAGAAACAAAGTCCAGGGCATCAAAGAAAGACTCATTTTCCAGATCCTTCTTGGTCTTTTCCTCCTGGTATGACTGATCCTTGAAAACCATCTCTGCTGTGAGAGAGGTGATACGGTCCTGCAAAGCTTTCCTGTCAATCTCAAAGTCTGACATCAGACTTTGATTTGTCGTAATAATTTTGTCTTTATCTATCAAGGACTGCTGCAGCCCCTCCATCTGCTCCTGAAGAGAACTGACCTTTAAGGTATAGTCTTTGGTTATTTCGGTAATTTCCCCCACAGAGGACTGATCCTTGAGGACCATCTCTTCTGTGAGAGAGGTGATACGATCCTGCAAAGCTTTCCTGTCGATCTCAAAGTCTGACATCAGACTTTGATTTGTCGTAATAATTTTGTCTTTATCTATCAAGGACTGCTGCAGCCCCTCCATCTGCTCCTGAAGAGAACTGACCTTTAAGGTGTAGTCTTTGGTTATTTCGGTAATTTCCCCTACAGAGGACTGATCCTTGAGGACCATCTCTTCTGTGAGAGAGGTGATACGATCCTGCAAAGCTTTCCTGTCGATCTCAAAGTCTGACATCAGACTTTGATTTGTCGTAATAATTTTGTCTTTATCTATCAAGGACTGCTGCAGCCCCTCCATCTGCTCCTGAAGAGAACTGACCTTTAAGGTGTAGTCTTTGGTTATTTCGGTAATTTCCCCCACAGAGGACTGATCCTTGAGGACCATCTCTTCTGTGAGAGAGGTGATACGATCCTGCAAAGCTTTCCTCTCAATCTCAAAGTCTGACATCAGACTTTGATTTGTCGTAATAATTTTGTCTTTATCTATCAAGGACTGCTGCAGCCCCTCCATCTGCTCCTGAAGAGAACTGACCTTTAAGGTGTAGTCTTTGGTTATTTCGGTAATTTCCCCCACAGAGGACTGATCCTTGAGGACCATCTCTTCTGTGAGAGAGGTGATACGATCCTGCAAAGCTTTCCTGTCAATCTCAAAGTCTGATATCAGACTTTGATTTGTCGTAATAATTTTGTCTTTATCTATCAAGGACTGCTGCAGCCCCTCCATCTGCTCCTGAAGAGCACTGACCTTTAAGGTATAGTCTTTGGTTATTTCGGTAATTTCCCCCACAGAGGACTGATCCTTGAGGACCATCTCTTCTGTGAGAGAGGTGATACGATCCTGCAAAGCTTTCCTGTCGATCTCAAAGTCTGACATCAGACTTTGATTTGTCGTAATAATTTTGTCTTTATCTATCAAGGACTGCTGCAGCCCCTCCATCTGCTCCTGAAGAGAACATACCTTTAAGGTGTAGTCTTTGGTTATTTCGGTAATTTCCCCCACGGAGGACTGATCCTTGAAGACCATCTCTTCTGTGAGAGAGGTGATACGATCCTCCAAAGCTTTCCTGTCGATCTCAAAGTCTGACATCAGACTTTGATTTGTCGTAATAATTTTGTCTTTATCTATCAAGGACTGCTGCAGCCCCTCCATCTGCTCCTGAAGAGAACTGACCTTTAAGGTGTAGTCTTTGGTTATTTCAGTAATTTCCCCCACAGAGGACTGATCCTTGAGGACCATCTCTTCTGTGAGAGAGGTGATACGATCCTGCAAAGCTTTCCTGTCGATCTCAAAGTCTGACCTCAGACTTTGATTTGTCGTAATAATTTTGTCTTTATCTATCAAGGACGGCTGCAGCCTCTCCATCTGCTCCTGAAGAGAACTGACCTTTAAGGTGTAGTCTTTGGTTATTTCGGTAATTTCCCCCACAGAGGACTGATCCTTGAGGACCATCTCTGCTGTGAGAGAGGTGATACGATCCTGCAAAGCTTTCCTGTCAATCTCAAAGTCTGACATCAGACTTTGATTTGTCGTAATAATTTTGTCTTTATCTATCAAGGACTGCTGCAGCCCCTCCATCTGCTCCTGAAGAGAACTGACCTTTAAGGTGTAGTCTTTGGTTATTTCGGTAATTTCCCCTACAGAGGACTGATCCTTGAGGACCATCTCTTCTGTGAGAGAGGTGATACGATCCTGCAAAGCTTTCCTGTCGATCTCAAAGTCTGATATCAGACTTTGATTTGTCGTAATAATGTTGTCCTTATCTATCAAGGACTGTTGCAGCCCCTCCATCTGCTCCTGAAGAGAACTGACCATTAAGGTGTAGTCTTTGGTTATTTCGGTAATTTCCCCCACAGAGAACTGATCCTTGAGGACCATCTCTGCTGTGAGAGAGGTGATACGATCCTGCAAAGCTTTCCTGTCGATCTCAAAGTCTGACATCAGACTTTGATTTGTCGTAATAATTTTGTCTTTATCTATCAAGGACTGCTGCAGCCCCTCCATCTGCTCCTGAAGAGAACTGACCTTTAAGGTGTAGTCTTTGGTTATTTCGGTAATTTCCCCCACGGAGGACTGATCCTTGAAGACCATCTCTTCTGTGAGAGAGGTGATACGATCCTCCAAAGCTTTCCTGTGAATCTCAAAGTCTGACATCAGACTTTGATTTGTCGTAATAATTTTGTCTTTATCTATCAAGGACTGCTGCAGCCCCTCTATCTGCTCCTGAAGAGAACTGACCTTTAAGGTGTAGTCTTTGGTTATTTCGGTAATTTCCCCCACAGAGGACTGATCCTTGAGGACCATCTCTTCTGTGAGAGAGGTGATACGATCCTGCAAAGCTTTCCTGTCGATCTCAAAGTCTGACATCAGACTTTGATTTGTCGTAATAATTTTGTCTTTATCTATCAAGGACTGCTGCAGCCCCTCCATCTGCTCCTGAAGAGAACTGACCTTTAAGGTGTAGTCTTTGGTTATTTCGGTAATTTCCCCCACAGAGGACTGATCCTTGAGGACCATCTCTGCTGTGAGAGAGGTGATACGATCCTGCAAAGCTTTCCTGTCGATCTCAAAGTCTGACATTCGACTTCGATTTGTCGTAATAATTTTGTCTTTATCTATCAAGGACTGCTGCAGCCCCTCCATCTGCTCCTGAAGAGAACTGACCTTTAAGGTGTAGTCTTTGGTTATTTCGGTAATTTCCCCCACAGAGGACTGATCCTTGAGGACCATCTCTTCTGTGAGAGAGGTGATACGATCCTGCAAAGCTTTCCTGTCGATCTCAAAGTCTGACATCAGGCTTTGATTTGTCGTAATAATTTTGTCTTTATCTATCAAGGACTGCTGCAGCCCCTCCATCTGCTCCTGAAGTCTTCTGACCTTTAGTGTACAATCATTTGATATTCGGGCCTTTTCCTTCATGTGCACCTGATCCTTGTGGACCCTCTCTTCATTAAGAATGGCGCAACAGTCAATCAAAGTGGTCCTGTCCTTCTCTAGTTGTAACATTCTACTTTGATTTTCTGCAATAATTACATCCCTTTCTCTTAAGGACTGCTGCAGCCCCTCCATCTGCTTCTCAAGAGAAAGAAAGGTGTTACAGCGCTTAGCAGCACAGGCCTGACTCTTTCCCCTTTGCTTTCTCTCCTGCTGCTGAGAAGTCGTCTGCTCCTCTCTGGTGATGTGGGTCCTCGCACATTCCTCTCTCAATTTTCCAATCTGGTACTCGAGCACATTGATCCTCGCAATATAACTATCAATCTTGTGTTGTACACATGTGTCTTCGCTGCAGATGCTTTCACTAAAGGTAACATCGAGAGTGGAATGATCATGAAGCTCGGACGATCCAGCGGTGTGTTTGAGGACGACCGTCTGAAAACACTTGTAGCTCTTATTCACATATTTCAGAGCTTGGTCCAGAGGACAGCGGCCGTCATCGGACGAGTCAGTACTGCTATCACTATCCATGACTACTGATGTTAAATCAACGGAGATATGTGCCTACGGCTGTCTGTGCCCCACTGTGAAGCAGACAAGTCTCTGTCCAAGACGGACACCCAAAGGACTCTCTCTGCAGGGCCAGACCTATATGTGTTCAAGACATAGAGGTTGCCTAGCAACGAGCTTTGAAGTCATTTTATGGGGTAAGGTTACTGTCAATAAAGACGTGCATGTCTAAAAAAAATGCGTGCATATTTATTGGTATTTATGCATAATTTATTTTTATGAATTCATGATTAAGATAATACAAACTAAAAAGACATGGAATTTCGTAATTAAGAATAAAAAAATATAAAACTGTATGTGTGATTTTGTACTTGTGAATACGATTTTTTTTTGTGTGCTTGCTTTTTCTTTTTGAGAATACGAATTTCAGCAGTGAGCAAACTGTCAATATGACGTCACTGCTCACAGACATTAACAATCGAGCTGCGCAGAGTTGATCATGGCAGAGGGCAACAACATTAACAATTTGGCTCAAAATCAGGTAAATAACTATATTTGATCATTTTGGTCGTAAATAAATATGTAAGAAATATTAATTCCATAAAATGTGTTCATAAGATGTTTCTTGTCCCTCTCTAGAAACGTTTTTTTAGGCAGTGTTTAGTTAACACTAGCTTCAAGGCTAGTTTTACAGCTTACCATGTTATTTTAAAACCAACATTTTTACATTCTTAGCAGTTACATTTTATGAAGCCTTTGCCCCAAATCAATGTGGTTAAAGTGTTGATACCAGCCCCAACCCTCCAGATTATTCATAGTTCGCGCTGTTACTGCCCCTGAGCAATACGAAGTTCACCTCCGTGCTTTACTCATCCTTGGTTGTTAGACGTAGCAGACCCTGTCCCTGTGGACCTCAATCCTATATTTGTACATTTGACACATTACTTTTACTCACTAGTTCAGTAAGACTAGTTAGTCTGTTGTTTAGACTAAAATAAATGCATTATTTTCTGTAGAATAAAACAATATAAGGATAAGAAAATAAAACTAGCATTGGAGCTAACAACACTGCCAAAAAACCTTTAGAGGGACAAGAAACATCTTCTTATGAACACATTTATGGAATTAATATTTCTTACAGATTCATTTACAACCAAAATGATAAAATATAGTTATATACTTGATTTTGAGCCGCTTTGTTTATGTTGTGTCCTTCTGCCATGTTTAGTTTTTAGGCAATGAAGTTGATCAACTCTGTGCAGGCTCGATTGTTAATGTCTGTGAGCAGTGACGTATTATTGACAGTTTGCTCACTGCTGAAATTCGTATTCTCAAAAAGAAAATGCAAGCACAAAAAAAAAATCGCATTCACAAGTACAAAATCACACATAGTTTTATATATTTTTTATTCTTAATTACGAAATTCCATGTCTTTTTAGTTTGTATTATCTTAATCATGAATTAATAAAATATTTGTATGCACAAATACCAATAAATATGCACGCATTTTTTTTAGACATACACGTCTTTATTGACAGTAACCTTACCCCATATCATTTCATTCCGGAATTCCAATCACACAGATTGTTGCCATGGTAACCAAGCAAATGTTGTGAGCAGTGTTGGTCCAACTCATCCGGAAAAGTAATCAGATTACTTTAGTAATCAGATTACTTTTCAATTCATTTTCTTTTTGCGATTGTTTATATTAATATGGAGTTGTATAATAATACATTTTCACAGCTTTAAAACAGTCATAATAACTGCTAAGAAGATCCTGGGTTCAAATCCTGGTCAGAACAGGATCTTTCTGAGTGGAGTTTACATGTTCTCCCCATGCCTGCGTAGGTTTCCTCCGGGTGCTCCGGTTTCCCTTACCACAAAAAAATAACTTGCACAATAGGTAAATCCTCCAGCTCTGGTCCTGACCAAGCCGAGCATTAACATCTGGAGATGGGTCCCCGGGTGCTGGACTACGGCGACCACTGCTCCTGATAGACACTGCAGTGGCATCAGGCACCAAAAATTATATCTCAATCCGTGTCTCAAATAATTCCTGAAATTAAACATACAACAGTTCAAAAATGTCTAACGTTTCTAATTACTATTAGCATAATGCTATCGCTAACTAGCGCCAGTTACAGAAAACATTTGAACATAAAAAAACATACAACATGTAAAATCGTTCACTAAAAATACTCTTCAACAATCACACGTTCCTAACAAAGTAAACTACAAAATGTTTGTGAACTTAACCCACCTGCAACAAACAAAAAACATATTCAGTATGGCTCTGGTCGAACAGTAAGCTACAGCAACACATAGAGCAGGGGTCGGCAACGTTTGTGACATGGAGTGCCAGTTTGAAATTTTCTTCTCATCTAGTGTGCCATTACCATCGATAAACGCAAAGTTAAAATATGACACAAAATACATAAACATTTCCAATATACTTGGAATTTTATTCTCAACAATAACAGTATCTGTATTTCAAAATAATTTATAAACATTTCAAAGACTGAAAAACAGCTAGTGTAGCATATAACAATAGTAAGTCCAGTAAACTGATTGTATTTGGGCTCAGACCAGAAGCTAAGATTGGGCTCACAGAGGGAGAGGTGTTTAAAATCACAGACAACAAAGACAGTGGTATGGTCCAGATGTGAATTAAAAGATAGATATTAGGGGTGCAACGGTTTGAAAAAAATCACGGTTGGGATCGTACCTCGGTTCAGTTCATTTTTTGGTTCATTTTTCAAAAAAAAAAAGTTTTGTCTATTTAATAAACACGGCTCCTGTGGACTCGGCACCTGCAGGAGGATCAGTGAGGGGCTGGTGCTCTGTGAACTGGGTGCAGCTCTGACTGCCACCCCCCTGACCTAGAAATGGATTAAGGGGAAGAAAATGGATGGCATATTCCATCCATCCAATTATGTCTTTTTAACATAATTAATGAAAAACACAAAGTGCAACATAAGAAGGCACTTTATGAGAATATTTACTCTCATATATTAAACCACCTTCCTGATTCTCCCGAGCAGGGGGTCCATTCTGGGCCCAGTCCAGCCTCATTCACTGCATTTATTTAATTTTTGGCATTATCAGTTGTAACTGGGATATTAGTACTGGGCCTTTGTCTTCCATTCCTCCGCTGCTGTGTCAGTACCTGCGCTGTGTGCCTGTACTGACACACTTGACTTTCGTAGAGGGGGCGTGTCTGCAACGCCCAACTTTTCATCTCGCAGTCTGCAGTGATGAAGTGAGCGGTTATCGTAACATTTCATGGTTATCTCAACCGCTCATGGATCAATTATAGGTTCCGCGGGACGTCCAAGCGTCAGTTGTGAGCGCAACTGACGCTTGGAGGATACGCGGGAGAGTTGACTTTAGCCCGGTCTGACTGTGCGTAAAGGGTCGGTCTTATGCCACAGTATTTACACTGTGACTGTTTTGTCGACTATTTAATCATCAGTATAGTTACAGTGAAGCCAAAATGCTCTCATACCGAGGATTTAAATGACACAGGCTTCTCTGTTCCTCCGCTCGCCATGATTACGCTGTGTGTGGACTGAACAACATAGTGGGAGTGCACAACTTTTTTTTCATAAATCAAACCGCGGTTCACGTCTGTACCGAACCGAAGACGTTGATCTGAACAGATCACGGATCAGTGATGAACCGTTGCACCTCTAATAGATATTTACAAAGGCAGGGGATAGATTACATACACCCCACATTCACAATATTTACAATATTTACAAAAAATAATTGAACGGGTTTTGAGTGAGAGAGTCCGGTTGAGTTGGGTTTGGCAGGTTGGTTTGAAAAGGTGGAGCGTGTACTTTGCAGTAATCCAGTTCAGGTTATTGTCTCAGTTTGTGGTGTTGTATGAGGGAGACTGCTCGCTTCCAACCGCACTGTAGTGTTGGCAATCTCTAGGTTTTCGGCCTGGGGCAGCTTGTAACGGTTTGTAGGTTGGGGGATTGTGGTGGTACTAGAGTTATTATTTGGGGTTGTGGTTTTATAGGGGTGCCAGCCAGGTATCCCTCCTGACAAGTGGGATATTGAAGGTTTAGTTTGAACTATTGTCACCGTCACACAAGGACTTATAATATAGATGTATAAATATAAACCCTTAGTCTTAAAATGTGAATGACAAAAAACCAGAGGAAACACACAGAAAATTAAATAAAGAGTCCCAAGTGTATTTGTACAGTCCAAAAAAATCAGTACTACTGTGCAACAAAGTATTTCCCCTCCCAAAGTTCACAAGCTTAGGCAGCTCCCCACATAAGCTGCTCCACAGCACAAGCTGAAGATAAAACACACACACAGAAAAATATCATCAAACACTATTCACTATACATTTTACAATAAGAAGACAGTAAAAAAAAAGTACACTCACATGTCACGTGTATGATTGAGGCACCTATGTTGATGGAGCAGGGGGTACAGTCTTTTTATATTCACTGTCATAAAACAGAATAATATTTACGGGAGCGCTTTTCTGAGTGTCTATTAGAGAGTTTATTTAATATTTTTCACTCACATTACGATGACGCGGGAGGTGCGCTGACGTACCCAGCCGGCACAGGCTTCAGTGTTGGAGCAGGCGGAAGAGCAAAAGGAGCGAGCGTTTTTACGCGTCTCCGGGAATGACATGCGGAGCTTTCCAGCGTTTTAGTAGCGCACAGAACCTTAGAACACGGAGGGATTGTACGACCTCCAGAATTCTGCTTCTACCGAGCACATGCGATCAGTCTCTCCTGCCTCCTTCTCAGTCAGAGCGCGACTGTCATTTTCAAAATCCGGAAGAGGGCCGCTCCACCCGCAGCGCGAGCACTGGGCCAATGAGGTGAGGCTATGACGGGACAGGGCGTATATACATGGCTGGAGCGCACAGTGTACATAAAAGGGGCAGAAACAAAACTTCATAGGGGCAACCCTGGGGTTGTCACACTCCCCCCCCCTTCAGAAGTCCTGAACTAGTGAGGGGTTCAGGTTCTTTCCTAGAACCCATTGGACAAGAACATCCATCCTATTTCGTTACAACTTTGCTTGGGCCTGGTTTCTCAATTTCTGAATTGTCGAAACCCAAGAAAGATTCCTCCTCACTCTCCTCCATAAAAATTTCAAGGACCTTGCGTCGCTGCTCTCTTTCCCACTCCTCTGCTGTGGGATAGCAGGGCTTCATTTGGGCCAGGTGAACTACCCAGAGATCCTCACCCGTGTCTTCACGAACAACCTCAAAATTTACAGGGCCAACTCTTCTGACAACGCGGTAAGGACCCTTCCACCTCGGGGCAAGTTTCGCTGAAAATGATTGGTCAGCCTTTGATAAAGGATGAGTTCGGATCCAGACACGATCTTTCTCGGAAAAATTTCCTTCCCGTCTTCCTCTGTCATAGTATTGTTTCTGTTTCCGTTTAGCATTTTGCAGGTTTCCGTCAACAAACTCTCGGAACCCAGCAAGCCGTTTGGCTGTAGCATAAGAGGCAGAGTCGGGGTCACACAGATTTGGACCAAGCTCGGAATCCCAAGGGCCTCTCAGAGGACGTCCTACGTTGAGCTCGGCGGGGGTCACTCTGGTGGACTCATGTACTGCTGAGTTGAGGGCAAACCGGAATTCAGAGATGTGTTTGTCCCAGCTCTTGTGATTATCATTGACATAGGATGCTATCATGGCTTTGATGTTGCGATTGATCCTTTCGGTTAGATTAGTCTGTGGATGATAGGCAGAAGTTCGCTTTGGGGTGAGATTCCATCTTTCACAGGTCTCGGCGAACACTGAAGATAAGAACTGAGGACCTTGATCCGAGAGAATGTAGTTCGGCACACCCCATCGCGTTAAAATTTCTTTGACTAAGTACTGGGCGATGGTCTCGGCAGTGGCCTTCCGCAGGGGAAACATCTCTCTCTGGGCGGCACGGTGGCTGAGTGGATAGCACTCTCGCCTCTCAGCAAGAAGGTCCTGGGTTCGAATCCCGGTCGGACCAGGGCCTTTCTGAGTGGAGTTTGCATGTTCTCCCCGTGTCTGCGTAGGTTTCCTCCGGGTACTCCGGTTTCCCCTACCACTAAAAATATGTACAATAGTTCTGGCATATGCCTCCTGTACTGGCGACCCCGCTCCCATCTCTGTGTGGAGTGAGAGACAAATGCCCAAAAATTAACAATTGTAAACCGCTTTGAGACTCTGATCTGCAGTGAAAAGGCGGTATATAAATAAAAACTTACTAACTTACTTACTTACTCTACCCATCTCGAATAATAGTCAACAAAGACTAGAAGGTGAATGTTGCCGTTCGAACTGCGGGGAAACGGGCCCATCAAGTCCACACCCAACATTCCCCAGGGTTTCTTCACCTCGGTTTGCTGCAACTTTCCCGGTGGTTTTCGATTTTCAGGTTTAAACTTTTGACAAACTTGGCAACATCTCACATAGTCGCGTACCTCAACACTCATTCTTGGCCAATATACCAGGGACTGGAGGCGTTTGTACGTTTTGTAGCGTCCAAAATGTCCAGCAAGGGGGTCGTTGTGATGGTGGTAGAGTAATTGTTGACGAAGTGAGGGAGGGATATAAACTTGGTACAGCGTTTTGTGGGGTAACTCGACAACTCTATACACCTTATCTTCAATTATAGTGTACTTGACTGTGGAGGTCTCCTTAACCACTCCTTTCTCCACAATTTGCTGATACAGGTCTTGGGTGAAAGGGTCCTGTTGTTGAGCCTTCCAGATGTTTTCATCGGTCACCGAGAGTGTTGGGGAAGTATCCCGCTGGGATCGGAGCACAACAGCACAAGTTGCCAGTGGATGTTCGGATTCCTCCACAGGGGCTCGTGAGAGGGCATCAGGAACAGTGTTGTACTTTCCCTTTCGATATTCCACAGTAAAAGAGAACTCCTGTAGCCGAAGAGCCCACCGGATCAGCCGAGTGCTGGGTTTGTGGGTTTTGAACACCCAGACCAGCGATGAGTGATCAGTCACCACGGTGAAGGGCCGGCCTTCCAGGTAGTACCTCCATTTTTCAATGGCCCACACAACAGCGAGACATTCCTGCTCTGTCGTGGAATAATTTCGCTCTGCTTTATTTAAAGTTCGGCTGGCGAAGGCAAGAACTTGCTCGGTGCCTAACTCACGTTGCTGAGCTAGAACAGCCCCTAACCCAACATCACTGGCATCCGTATACACGATAAATGGCACCGTGAAGTCAGGATGACCCAGAATAGGTGGGGAAACCAAGTGGTCTTTTAAGGCTTCAAACGAGGTTTGACAGGAGGGCGTCCAAATATATTTGGCCCCTTTGCGTTTCAGCGCGTTGAGGGGTGCGGTGAGTTCAGAGAATCCCGGCACAAAGCGATGGTACCATTCAGCCATTCCTAGGAACCTCTGTAGTTGTTTGATGTTCTGGGGAATAGGGAACTCTTGAACTGCGTTGATCTTTTCTTGGTCCACAGCAACCCCAGCAGAAGATACCACATGACCCAGAAACTTCAGAGAAGAGCGGAAGAACTGACTTTTCTTCATATTAACTGTAAGGTTGGCTTCTTGTAATTTGTCAAGAACGGCTTGTATGTCATGGCTGTGTTGTTGATAGGTTGTGGAGTAGATGATAATATCGTCCAGATATACAAAGCAGATTTGCCCGCGTAGATCTCCCAAGACTACCTCCATTAACCGTTGGAAGGTGGCTGGGGCATTTTTCAATCCAAACGGCATCACCTTAAACTGGAACAAGCCAAAGGGACAAACAAAGGCAGTCTTCTCCCGACTTCTTGGGTCCATACAAACTTGCCAGTAACCACCGTTTAAGTCCAAGGTGGTAAAGATGACTGCTCCAGCAAGAGACTCTAAGATTTCTTGAATATTGGGCAGGGGATAGGCATCTGTGTGTGTAGCTGCATTAAGTTTTCTGAAATCCACACAAAATCGAGGTTTGGGGTCCTGTTTTTTAGGCACTAGAACCACTGGAGCAGCGTATGGGGACGTTGAGGGTTCAATAATGTCTTTTTCGATCATTTCCTTAACATGTTCCTTGATTATTTGGAGTTTTGCTGGTGAAACCCGGTATGGTTTTTGTTTGATTGGCACTTCATTGACCAGGTATATTTTGTGAGTCAGTACGTTGGTACAACCTAGGCGAGAGGTACACACATTAGAATTACTTTTCAGGTGAGACCACAATGACTGTTTCCCGAAATCGTCCAGATGAGCACTGGTGACAGCTTTTTGCAGAAGTTCATCCCTGGAAGAATTGGAGAATAATTGGGCAAGTGGGATAGCAGAGAAAAAAGCGATTTGTTGAGGGGTATCACACATTGTTGCAGAGTCTGGGATAAAATTGTACCGTTGTCGTTGGTTGAACTTGAACCAGTAACATTTTTCAGAAACATCAAACTGTAGCCCAGAGAGGGATATGAAATCAAGCCCCAGCACAGCAGGGAAGGCAAGACTCTTTGTTGGAAGAATGACACAAGGTAAGGTGATTGTCTGCGTTTGCAGGGTGATAGTTAATGAACTCCAACCCAGGGGTTCTCGTCCTTCTCCATCGGCCAAATATAATGGTCCTCTGGTCCATGGTTTGACTTCTCCGCTTATCTCATTCCACACTCTCTCATTCACCAGAGTATAGGAGGAACCAGTGTCCAAAAGGGCAGCCCCCCTCCAGGAATTTACATTGACGGGTATCATCAACTGGCATGGCAGGGAGCTTGAGGGAGGTGTTGTAGTGGGGCAGAATTTTCCTGAAGGTCCAGCGGTTGTAAGAGAACCGAGAGTGGCTGAGCCTCCTGGGGCGTGACTACCAGGCGGCTGCAGGGGGACCTGAGGTCTAAGTGGATAGTTTGTAGCTCCACGTGGGCAGGTTCCCGGGGAGTGATCACCTTTACAGCGCCAACAGAAAGGTTGCGGAGGACGATTGTGATTTGCATTGAAATTTGGTTGTTTGGGGTGCACAACGTTATTAGAATTGTTGGAAGCCCGATTTTCACTGGGAGTGGATGACATACTGGCCCGTTTCCGGTGCTCATACTGCTGTTGATTGTCCCGATCTCGCTCCAGCTGCTGTCCTAGTCGAACTAACTCATCCACAGTGGGTACTCGACTGCTCCGTAGTTGGCTTGCCAAGGCAGGATTGATATTTTTAAGAATGAGCTTCACAATTTCCCCTTCCATGATTTGAGGTTTCCACCGTTTACATAGGGATTGATACATATAGACAAAATCTCTGATGCCTTCATTTTCTCCTTGAACTCGGGTTCGCACTCGTTCCGCTAGCTCATCCTCATAATCTTCAGAGAGAAAAGCAGCTCTAAACTGGGCTTTAAATTGCATCCAAGTCCGGATCTTGTGGCGGCCTACATCCCACCAATCTCGAGCGGTGCCATGCAAAACATTCCGTAATGTCGCCATAAGTTCCTCATCGCTTAGAGAATGCAGGGCCAAATAATCTTCGCAGCGCTCCAAATACTGCAGTGGGTCGGTAGGATCTGTTCGCTGTCCATATGTTGGGAACAGAAGCTTCACTGGACTTTTCCCAATGTCTCGACTACGGTTAAGTGGTAATGTGGAAAATCCAGATGCTACTTGTACAGCAGTTCTCCCGGGGTCAAGGGAGTTCTCCGAAATACAATTACATTCAATGCATTTAGTGCTGATTTTTGTGTCAACATTTAGGGCAACAAGACAGATAAATTGAACACAAATGATCCGGTTGAGAGAGAGAGATAAGCCCTCTTTGCTGATGCCACGTCTGGGATAAAGAGAAAGAGGCTTTGGTGAAGATTTGGATCATGGAATTCTATTTCCATGAGACAAACATGGTCAACTGTGACCCAAAGTCAACACTTGTGAACCACGTCCTCTGCTGGCATATGTGGCATAATATATCACCCCAGCCTTGGAAGATCCTAATACTGCAGAACCAAGAGACAGTGCACCACAAAGGTAGTTACAATTGCTGATTGTCAGTAACTGGTGAATACCTTCTTCCCCCACTGGTTCTGTGCAGCGATGGTATTACAGTGTTTAGGGTTTTAGAAGAAAGCAGAGTCTCATCAAAGCCACAGTAACAGCAAGCATCTTCACTCCAGACCGAACGGCCGAGAAGGAAGCCCCCGTGGCAAGACACAGTCCACTACACTCAACCCGATGAGTCCCCTGATGAGATAATTTGCCTATTGTTCTGTAAGCAGATGTTTTCCACATCTTTCTCCTCAGAAACAAAGTCCAGCATCAAGTAAAGACTCATTTTCCAGATCCTTCTTGGTCTTTTACTCCTGGTATGACTGAATCCTTGAAAACCATCTCTGCTCGTGAGAGAGGTGAATACGGTTCCTGCAAAGCTTTCCTGTCAATCCTCAAAGTCTGACATCAGACTTGATTTAGTCGAAAATTTTTGTCTTTTATCTATCAAGGACTGCAGCAGCCCTCCATCACTCCTGAAGAGAAATGACCTTTAAGGTATGTCTTTGTTATTCCGTAATTTCCCCAAGAGGAAACTGATCCTTGAGGACCATCTCTTCTGTGAGAGAGGTATACATCCTGCAAAGCTTTCCTGTCGATCTCAAGTCTGACATCAGACTTTGATTTGTCGTAATAATTTTGTCTCTTTATCTCGCAAGGACTCGTGCAGCCCCTCCATCAGCTCCAGAAGAGAACTGACCTTTTAAGGTGTAGTCCTTTGGTTTATTTCGGTAATTTCCCCTACCAGAGGACTGATCCTTATGAGGACCATCTCTTCTGGTGAGAGAGGTGATACGATCCTGCAAGCTTTCCCTGCGATCTCAAGTCTGACATCAGACTTTGAATTGTCGTAAAATAATTTTGTCTTAATCTATCAAGGACTGCTGCAGCCCCTCCCATCTGCTCCTGAAGAGAACTGACCTTTAAGGTGTCTTCTTTGTTATTTCGGTAATTTCCCCCACAGAGGACTGAACCTATGAGGACCATCTCTCGTGAGAGAGGGTCAACTGTGGTCCAACGTCAACACTTTGAACCACGGTCTTCTGCTGGCAGTATGTGCCAATAAATATATCACCCCTGCCTTGAAGATCCTAATACCTGCACACCAAGAGACAGTGGACCAAAAAGGTATGTGACAATTGCTGATTGTCAGTAACTGGTGAATACCTTCTTCCCCCACTGTTCTGTGCTGCGATGGTATTACAGTGTTTTAGGGTTTAGAAGTAAGCAGGAGTCTCATCAAAGCCACAGTAACAGCACGCATCTTCACTCCAGACCGAACGGCCGAGAAGGAAGCCCCCGGTGGCAGACACAGTCACTGCACTCAACCCGATGAGTCCCCTGATGAGATATTTGCCTATTGTTCTGTAAGCAGATGTTTCCACATCTTTCTCCTCAGAAACAAAGTCCAGGGCATCAAAGAAAGACTCATTTTCCAGATCCTTATTGGTCTTTTCCTCCTGGTATGACTGATCCTTGAAAACCATCTCTGCTGTGAGAGAGGTGATACGGTCCCGCAAAGCTTTCCTGTCAATCTCAAAGTCTGAAATCAGACTTTGATTTGTCGTAATAATTTTGTCTTTATCTATCAAGGACTGCTGCAGCCCCTCCATCTGCTCCTGAAGAGAACTGACCTTTAAGGTGTAGTCTTTGGTTATTTCGGTAATTTCCCCCATAGAGGACTGATCTTTGAGGACCATCTCTTCTGTGAGAGAGGTGATACGATCCTGCAAAGCTTTCCTGTCGATCTCAAAGTCTGACATCAGACTTTGATTTGTCGTTATAATTTTGTCTTTATCTATCAAGGACTGCTGCAGCCCCTCCATCTGCTCCTGAAGAGAACTGACCTTTAAGGTGTAGTCTTTGGTTATTTCGGTAATTTCCCCCATAGAGGACTGATCCTTGAGGGCCATCTCTTCTGTGAGAGAGGTGATACGATCCTGCAAAGCTTTCCTTTCGATCTCAAAGTCTGACATCAGACTTTGATTTGTCGTAATAATTTTGTCTTTATCTATCAAGGACTGCTGCAGCCCCTCCATCTGCTCCTGCAGAGAACTGACCTTTAAGGTGTAGTCTTTGGTTATTTCGGTAATTTCCCCCACAGAGGACTGATCCTTGAGGACCATCTCTTCTGTGAGAGAGGTGATACGATCCTGCAAAGCTTTCCTGTCGATCTCAAAGTCTGACATCAGACTTTGATTTGTCGTAATAATTTTGTCTTTATCTATCAAGGACTGCTGCAGCCCCTCCATCTGCTCCTGAAGAGAACTGACCTTTAAGGTGAGGTCTTTGGTTATTTCGGTAATTTCTGCCACAGAGGACTGATCCTTGAGGACCATCTCTGCTGTGAGAGAGGTGATACGATCCTGCAAAGCTTTCCTGTCAATCTCAAAGTCTGACATCAGACTTTGATTTGTCGTAATAATTTTGTCTTTATCTATCAAGGACTGCTGCAGCTCCTCCATCTGCTCCTGAAGAGAACTGACCTTTAAGGTGTAGTCTTTGGTTATTTCGGTAATTTCCCCCACAGAGGACTGATCCTTGAGGACCATCTCTTCTGTGAGAGAGGTGATACGATCCTGCAAAGCTTTCCTGTCAATCTCAAAGTCTGACATCAGACTTTGATTTGTCATAATAATTTTGTCTTTATCTATCAAGGACTGCTGCAGCCCCTCCATCTGCTCCTGAAGAGAACTGACCTTTAAGGTGTAGTCTTTGGTTATTTCGGTAATTTCCCCCATAGAGGACTGATCCTTGAGGACCATCTCTGCTGTGAGAGAGGTGATACGATCCTGCAAAGTTATCCTGTCGATCTCAAAGTCTGACATCAGACTTTGATTTGTCGTAATAATTTTGTCTTTATCGATCAAGGACTGCTGCAGCCCCTCCATCTGCTCCTGAAGAGAACTGACCTTTAAGGTGTAGTCTTTGGTTATTTCGGTAATTTCCCCCACAGAGGACTGATCCTTGAGGACCATCTCTTTTGTGAGAGAGGTGATACGATCCTGCAAAGCTTTCCTGTCAATCTCAAAGTCTGACATCAGACTTTGATTTGTCGTAATAATTTTGTCTTTATCGATCAAGGACTGCTGCAGCACCTCCATCTGCTCCTGAAGAGAACTGACCTTTAAGGTGTAGTCTTTGGTTATTTCGGTAATTTCCCCCACAGAGGACTGATCCTTGAGGACCATCTCTTCTGTGAGAGAGGTGATACGATCCTGCAAAGCTTTCCTGTCGATCTCAAAGTCTGACATAAGACTTTGATTTGTCGTAATAATTTTGTCTTTATCGATCAAGGACTGCTTCAGCCCCTCCATCTGCTCCTGAAGAGAACTGACCTTTAAGGTGTAGTCTTTGGTTATTTCGGTAATTTCCCCCACAGAGGACTGATCCATGAGGACCATCTCTTCTGTGAGAGAGGTGATACGATCCTGCAAAGCTTTCCTGTCAATCTCAAAGTCTGACATCAGACTTTGATTTGTCGTAATAATTTTGTCTTTATCGATCAAGGACTGCTGCAGCACCTCCATCTGCTCCTGAAGAGAACTGACCTTTAAGGTGTAGTCTTTGGTTATTTCGGTAATTTCCCCCACAGAGGACTGATCCCTGAGGACCATCTCTTCTGTGAGAGAGGTGATACGATCCTGCAAAGCTTTCCTGTCGATCTCAAAGTCTGACATAAGACTTTGATTTGTAGTAATAATTTTGTCTTTATCGATCAAGGACTGCTGCAGCCCCTCCATCTGCTCCTGAAGAGAACTGACCTTTAAGGTGTAGTCTTTGGTTATTTCGGTAATTTCCCCCACAGAGGACTGATCCATGAGGACCATCTCTTCTGTGAGAGAGGTGATACGATCCTGCAAAGCTTTCCTGTCAATCTCAAAGTCTGACATCAGACTTTGATTTGTCGTAATAATTTTGTCTTTATCGATCAAGGACTGCTGCAGCACCTCCATCTGCTCCTGAAGAGAACTGACCTTTAAGGTGTAGTCTTTGGTTATTTCGGTAATTTCCCCCACAGAGGACTGATCCTTGAGGACCATCTCTTCTGTGAGAGAGGTGATACGATCCTGCAAAGCTTTCCTGTCGATCTCAAAGTCTGACATAAGACTTTGATTTGTTGTAATAATTTTGTCTTTATCGATCAAGGACTGCTGCAGCCCCTCCATCTGCTCCTGAAGAGAACTGACCTTTAAGGTGTAGTCTTTGGTTATTTCGGTAATTTCCCCCACAGAGGACTGATCCATGAGGACCATCTCTTCTGTGAGAGAGGTGATACGATCCTGCAAAGCTTTCCTGTCAATCTCAAAGTCTGACATCAGACTTTGATTTGTCGTAATAATTTTGTCTTTATCTATCAAGGACTGCTGCAGCCCCTCCATCTGCTCCTGAAGAGAACTGACCTTTAAGGTGTAGTCTTTGGTTATTTCGGTAATTTCCCCCACAGAGGACTGATCCTTGAGGACCATCTCTTCTGTGAGAGAGGTGATACGATCCTGCAAAGCTTTCCTGTCGATCTCAAAGTCTGACATCAGACTTTGATTTGTCGTAATAATTTTGTCTTTATCTATCAAGGACTGCTGCAGCCCCTCCATCTGCTCCTGAAGAGAACTGACCTTTAAGGTGTAGTCTTTGGTTATTTCGGTAATTTCCCCCACAGAGGACTGATCCATGAGGACCATCTCTTCTGTGAGAGAGGTGATACGATCCTGCAAAGCTTTCCTGTCGACCTCAAAGTCTGACATCAGACTTTGATTTGTCGTAATAATTTTGTCTTTATCTATCAAGGACTGCTGCAGCCCCTCCATCTGCTCCTGAAGAGAACTGACCTTTAAGGTGTAGTCTTTGGTTATTTCGGTAATTTCCCCTACAGAGGACTGATCCTTGAGGACCATCTCTTCTGTGAGAGAGGTGATACGATCCTGCAAAGCTTTCCTGTCAATCTCACAGTCTGACATCAGACTTTGATTTGTCGTAATAATTTTGTCTTTATCTATCAAGGACTGCTGCAGCCCCTCCATATGCTCCTGAAGAGAACTGACCTTTAAGGTGTAGGTCTTTGGTTATTTCGGTAATTTCTGCCACAGAGGACTGATCCTTGAGGACCATCTCTGCTGTGAGAGAGGTGATACGATCCTGCAAAGCTTTCCTGTCAATCTCAAAGTCTGACATCAGACTTTGATTTGTCCTAATAATTTTGTCTTTATCTATCAAGGACTGCTGCAGCCCCTCCATCTGCTCCTGAAGAGAACTGACCTTTAAGGTGTAGTCTTTGGTTATTTCGGTAATTTCCCCCATAGAGGACTGATCCTTGAGGACCATCTCTGCTGTGAGAGAGGTGATACTATCCTGCAAAGTTATCCTGTCGATCTCAAAGTCTGACATCAGACTTTGATTTGTCGTAATAATTTTGTCTTTATCGATCAAGGACTGCTGCAGCCCCTCCATCTGCTCCTGAAGAGAACTGACCTTTAAGGTGTAGTCTTTGGTTATTTCGGTAATTTCCCCCACAGAGGACTGATCCTTGAGGACCATCTCTTCTGTGAGAGAGGTGATACGATCCTGCAAAGCTTTCCTGTCAATCTCAAAGTCTGACATCAGACTTTGATTTGTCGTAATAATTTTGTCTTTATCTATCAAGGACTGCTGCAGCCCCTCCATCTGCTCCTGAAGAGAACTGACCTTTAAGGTGTAGTCTTTGGTTATTTCGGTAATTTCCCCCACAGAGGACTGATCCTTGAGGACCATCTCTGCTGTGAGAGAGGTGATACGATCCTGCAAAGCTTTCCTGTCGATCTCAAAGTCTGACATCAGACTTTGATTTGTCGTAATAATTTTGTCTTTATCTATCAAGGACTGCTGCAGCCCCTCCATCTGCTCCTGAAGAGAACTGACCTTTAAGGTGTAGTCTTTGGTTATTTCGGTAATTTCCCCCACAGAGGACTGATCCTTGAGGACCATCTCTTCTGTGAGAGAGGTGATACGATCCTGCAAAGCTTTCCTGTCAATCTCACAGTCTGACATCAGACTTTGATTTGTCGTAATAATTTTGTCTTTATCTATCAAGGACTGCTGCAGCCCCTCCATCTGCTCCTGAAGAGAACTGACCTTTAAGGTGTAGTCTTTGGTTATTTCGGTAATTTCTGCCACAGAGGACTGATCCTTGAGGACCATCTCTGCTGTGAGAGAGGTGATACGATCCTGCAAAGCTTTCCTGTCGATCTCAAAGTCTGACATCAGACTTTGATTTGTCGTAATAATTTTGTCTTTATCTATCAAGGACTGCTGCAGCCCCTCCATCTGCTCCTGAAGAGAACTGACCTTTAAGGTGTAGTCTTTGGTTATTTCGGTAATTTCCCCCACAGAGGACTGATCCTTGAGGACCATCTCTGCTGTGAGAGAGGTGATACGATCCTGCAAAGCTTTCCTGTCGATCTCAAAGTCTGACATCAGACTTTGATTTGTCGTAATAATTTTGTCTTTATCTATCAAGGACTGCTGCAGCTCCTCCATCTGCTCCTGAAGAGAACTGACCTTTAAGGTGAGGTCTTTGGTTATTTCGGTAATTTCCCCCACAGAGGACTGATCCTTGAGGACCATCTCTGCTGTGAGAGAGGTGATACGATCCTGCAAAGCTTTCCTGTCAATCTCAAAGTCTGACATCAGACTTTGATTTGTCGTAATAATTTTGTCTTTATCTATCAAGGACTGCTGCAGCGCCTCCATCTGCTCCTGAAGAGAACTGACCTTTAAGGTATAGTCTTTGGTTATTTCGGTAATTTCCCCCACAGAGGACTGATCTTTGAGGACCATCTCTTCTGTGAGAGAGGTGATACGATCCTGCAAAGCTTTCCTGTCGATCTCAAAGTCTGACATCAGACTTTGATTTGTCGTAATAATTTTGTCTTTATCTATCAAGGACTGCTGCAGCCCCTCCATCTGCTCCTGAAGAGAACTGACCTTTAAGGTGTAGTCTTTGGTTATTTCGGTAATTTCCCCCACAGAGGACTGATCCTTGAGGACCATCTCTGCTGTGAGAGAGGTGATACGATCCTGCAAAGCTTTCCTGTCGATCTCAAAGTCTGACATCAGACTTTGATTTGTCGTAATAATTTTGTCTTTATCTATCAAGGACTGCTGCAGCCCCTCCATCTGCTCCTGAAGAGAACTGACCTTTAAGGTGTAGTCTTTGGTTATTTCGGTAATTTCCCCACAGAGGACTGATCCTTGAGGACCATCTCTTCTGTGAGAGAGGTGATACGATCCTGCAAAGCTTTCCTGTCAGTCTGACATCAGACTTTGATTTGTCGTAATAATTTTGTCTTTATCTATCAAGGACTGCTGCAGCCCCTCCATCTGCTCCTGAAGAGAACTGACCTTTAAGGTGAGGTCTTTGGTTATTTCGGTAATTTCTGCCACAGAGGACTGATCCTTGAGGACCATCTCTGCTGTGAGAGAGGTGATACGATCCTGCAAAGCTTTCCTGTTGATCTCACAGTCTGACATCAGACTTTGATTTGTCGTAATAATTTTGTCTTTATCTATCAAGGACTGCTGCAGCCCCTCCATCTGCTCCTGAAGAGAACTGACCTTTAAGGTGTAGTCTTTGGTTATTTCGGTAATTTCCCCCACAGAGGACTGATCCTTGAGGACCATCTCTGCTGTGAGAGAGGTGATACGATCCTGCAAAGCTTTCCTGTCGATCTCAAAGTCTGACATCAGACTTTGATTTGTCGTAATAATTTTGTCTTTATCTATCAAGGACTGCTGCAGCTCCTCCATCTGCTCCTGAAGAGAACTGACCTTTAAGGTGAGGTCTTTGGTTATTTCGGTAATTTCTGCCACAGAGGACTGATCCTTGAGGACAATCTCTGCTGTGAGAGAGGTGATACGATCCTGCAAAGCTTTCCTGTCAATCTCAAAGTCTGACATCAGACTTTGATTTGTCGTAATAATTTTGTCTTTATCTATCAATGACTGCTGCAGCTCCTCCATCTGCTCCTGAAGAGAACTGACCTTTAAGGTGTAGTCTTTGGTTATTTCGGTAATTTCCCCCACAGAGAACTGATCCTTGAGGACCATCTCTTCTGTGAGAGAGGTGATACGATCCTGCAAAGCTTTCCTGTCGATCTCAAAGTCTGACATCAGACTTTGATTTGTCGTAATAATTTTGTCTTTATCTATCAAGGACTGCTGCAGCCCCTCCATCTGCTCCTGAAGAGAACTGACCTTTAAGGTGTAGTCTTTGGTTATTTCGGTAATTTCCCCTACAGAGGACTGATCCTTTAGGACCATCTCTTCTGTGAGAGAGGTGATACGATCCTGCAAAGCTTTCCTGTCGATCTCACAGTCTGACATCAGACTTTGATTTGTCGTAATAATTTTGTCTTTATCTATCAAGGACTGCTGCAGCCCCTCCATCTGCTCCTGAAGAGAACTGACCTTTAAGGTGTAGTCTTTGGTTATTTCGGTAATTTCCCCCACAGAGGACTGATCCTTGAGGACCATCTCTGCTGTGAGAGAGGTGATACGATCCTGCAAAGCTTTCCTGTCGATCTCAAAGTCTGACATCAGACTTTGATTTGTCGTAATAATTTTGTCTTTATCTATCAAGGACTGCTGCAGCGCCTCCATCTGCTCCTGAAGAGAACTGACCTTTAAGGTGTAGTCTTTGGTTATTTCGGTAATTTCCCCCACAGAGAACTGATCCTTGAGGACCATCTCTTCTGTGAGAGAGGTGATACGATCCTGCAAAGCTTTCCTGTCGATCTCAAAGTCTGACATCAGACTTTGATTTGTCGTAATAATTTTGTCTTTATCTATCAAGGACTGCTGCAGCCCCTCCATCTGCTCCTGAAGAGAACTGACCTTTAAGGTGTAGTCTTTGGTTATTTTGGTAATTTCCCCCACAGAGGACTGATCCTTGAGGACCATCTCTGCTGTGAGAGAGGTGATACGATCCTGCAAAGCTTTCCTGTCAATCTCAAAGTCTGACATCAGACTTTGATTTGTCGTAATAATTTTGTCTTTATCTATCAAGGACTGCTGCAGCCCCTCCATCTGCTCCTGAAGTCTTCTGACCTTTAGTGTACAATTATTTGATATTCTGGCCTTTTCCTTCATGTGCACCTGATCCTTGTGGACCCTCTCTTCATTAAGAATGGCGCAATGGTCAATCAAAGTGGTCCTGTCCTTCTCTAGTTGTAACATTCTACTTTGATTTTCTGCAATCATTACATCCCTTTCTCTTAAGAACTGCTGCAGCCCCTCCATCTGCTTCTCAAGAGAAAGAAAGGTGTTACAGCGCTTAGCAGCACATGCCTGACTCTTTCCCCTTTGCTTTCTCTCCTGCTGCTGAGAAGTCGTCTGCTCCTCTCTGGTGATGTGGGTCCTCGCACATTCCTCTCTCAATTTTCCAATCTGGTACTCGAGCACATTGATCCTCGCAATATAACTATCAATCTTGTGTTGTACACATGTGTCTTCGCTGCAGATGCTTTCACTAAAGGTAACATCGAGAGTGGAATGATGATGAAGCTCGGACGATCCAGCGGTGTGTTTGAGGACGACCATCTGAGAACACTTGTAGCTCTTATTCACATATTTCAGAGCTTGGTCCAGAGGACAGCGGCCGTCATTGGACGAGTCATTACTGCTATCACTATCCATGACTACTGATGTTAAATCAACGGAGATATGTGCCTACTGCGGTCTGTGCCCCACTTTGAAGAAGATAAGTCTCTGTCCAAGACGGACAACCAAAGGACTCTCTCTGCAGGGCCAGACCTATATGGGTTCAAGACATAGACGTTGCCTAGCAACGAGCTTTGAAGTCATTTAATTCCGGAATTCCAATCACATCACATATTGTTGCCATGGTAACCAAGCAAATGTTGTGAGCAGTGTTGGTCAAACTCATCCGGAAAAGTAATCAGATTACTTTAGTAATCAGATTACTTTTCAATTCATTTTCTTTTTGAGATTGTTTATATTTATATGGAGTTGTATAATAATACATTTTCACAGCTTTAAAACAGTCATAATAACTGCTAAGAAGATCCTGGGTTCAAATCCTGGTCAGAACAGGATCTGTCTGAGTGGAGTTTACATGTTCTCCCCATGCCTGCGTAGGTTTCCTCCAGGTGCTCCGGTTTCCCTTACCACAAAAAAATAACTTGCACAATAGGTAAATCCTCCAGCTCTGGTCCTGACCAAGCCGAGCATTAACATCTGGAGATGGGTCCCCGGGTGCTCGACTACGGCGACCACTGCTCCTGATAGACACTGCAGTGGCATCAGGCACCAAAAATTATATCTCAATCCGTGTCTCAAATAATTCCTGAAATTAAACATACAACAGTTCAAAAATGTCTAACGTTTCTAATTGCTATTAGCATAATGCTATCGCTAACTAGCGCCAGTTACAGAAAACATTTGAACATAAAAAAACATACAACATGTAAAATCGTTCACTAAAAATACTCTTCAACAATCACACGTTCCTAACAAAGTAAACAACAAAATGTTTGTGAACTTAACCCACCTGCAACAAACAAAATACATATTCAGTATGGCTCTGGTCGAACAGTAAGCTACAGCAACACACAGAGCTTAACTGCTTCTGCGCGCGAGGCAGAGCGGTCATTGTATTTAACAGCCGCCACTACTGACACCTACTGGCCATGTCCGGTATTGCATCTGTGGCCAAACAGTGGGTTACAATAAAATAACAAATACAAACAGATTAACATATAACATTCACAAATTAATATTTGATGGGGGTTGTCTTTTTAAAATAAATATTAAAATATGTCCAGGGTGCCACACCCTCCCCTCCATCCATCCATCCATTTTCTACCCTTTAATCCATTTCTGGGTCAGGGGGGTGGCAGTCAGAGATGCCACCCAAGTCTCATAGCACCAGCCCCTCACTGACCCTCTGCAGGTGGTGAGTCCACAGGAGGACAGCTGCTCACTGAGTGTGCATAGCCTTGATCTTTCAGTGGGGGCTTTGGGCAAAGTGGGGTTAAGTGTCTTGCCCAAGGACACAACGACAGCAGTCATCAGTGGGAGTCGGTGGAGAAGGTGTAGGGGTGGGAATTGAACCCACGACCTTCTGGCCTTAAGGCCAATGCTCTACCAATGCTCTACTGTCGCCCCTCCCCTGTTTAATAATAATAATATATATCGCATGAAACAAAAATAAATGTAGATTTGTTCAAGTTCAATTAAATGCATTAATTATTGTCTATTCCATCACTGCCTACCATCAGTCCATCTCCCACTTCACAGAGTGGTGTTCTGAAAACTCTCTGGAACTGAACACGGACAAAACCAAGGAACTAATTTTCCACTCTCATTCACACACCCCAGACCTGCCTCCCACTCTCATACACAACAAAACTATAGAACGGGTTAATCACTTCAAATACCTTGGACTCACACTCGAAAATAAACTCACCTTTGAACAACATGTCACAGATATCCATAAACGTTCCCAACAAAGACTCTACATCCTTCGTAAGCTCCGTGCCCTCTCTGTCTCTCCAAATCTGCTTCTGAAACTCTACTCTTCAATCATTCAACCTATTCTCCTCTACTGCTCCCCCTGTTACTTTAACATGCTCTCCATCACCAACAGAAACAAACTCACTAAAGTCACACACACAGCATCCAAAATCATCAGTCTCCCCACCGCAGACCTCTCTCAGCTCAACCTCACAGCAGTAACACACATGGCCCAGACAGTAAGCACTGACCCAGACCATCCCCTCCACACCCACTTCACTCTGCTGCCCTCAGGACGCAGATACAGAACTCTAAGATGGAAGAGGGCAAGATTTAGTAAAAGTTTTGTCCCTTCAGCGATAGCAGCTCTAAACAGTCTGTAATGTTGCCCCTGTTCCTGCGTTGTATGTGTTTCCCTCCCTTCGGTGTCTCTTGTGTTTATTGTAACCTGTATGTGACAGTGCCTGTGAAAATGAATTTCCCTCAGGGGACAATAAAGGTCTATCTATGTCTATCTATCTATCTATCAGTGCAAATCACAGCTGTCATAACCTGGCTCAAGGCCATGACAAATATGGACGCAGACACCGTAAATGGATACTTAAAGGGTGTTTATTAAACAAAGATTAACCCAAAGTACCAAA